CATACTAGCTAAAATTAATTTATTTTTCTCTAAATAAGATTCTTTGTTACAAATTAATGATTACTTAAATTAACAAAATTAAAATAAATTAATAACATTTTATTTTAAGAGATTCCTTTCAGAACACAAAGCTACCAATATAAAAACTGAAAATGATTTAAGTCTTACCATATATCATACAAAACACTTTTGAAGTTAATTAGAATCAAAGTAATTTCAACATCAAACTGATTTAAAAAAAAAAGTCAAGGAGATAGCTCAGTGATAGGGTACTTGCCCAGAATGCACAAGACTCAAGACTCAAGTGTTTAATCTTCAGTTAAACAAAAAACCAACCATCAGACAAGAAAAGAATAGCACTCACACAGAAATAGTGCTCACATGCAGTACTATCTACAGCCCTAAAAGTGTGTATGACGCACAGACACAATTCTGAGCGCTAAGAGGTATCAGGTATCTGCAGGCATCTATCTCTCAAACCTCCTGTCTCAAAAACTTTAAAAAGTGTTAAAAGGACTGCATGCATGAAGCTCTGAGAGGAAGGGGAAGGAGAGGAGAAGAGGTAGGATGGGAGAAAATAAAAGGAGAGAGGGAAGGGGAAAGAAAGGGAAGAAAGAAGGCAAAAGGAGAGGGAGGGAGAGAGGGAAGGGAGAAGAGAAATGTGTTAATGCAAGGAAGATGGTCCCGGAGGTACAAGAAAGATTGCTGAGCATGAGCTTGGCGCGCAAACCAGTAGGCAGCATTCCTCCACCGTCTCCGCTTCAGTTCCTGCTTCCAGTTCCAGCCTTGAGTTCCCGCCCAGGCTTCCCTCAGTTAGGGACTATAGGGTGTAAGCTAAAATAAACCCTTTCTTCCCCTGTGGCTTTTGGTCATGGTGTTTATCAGAGCAACAGAAACATAGGTTGGACACCCATGTCTTGGTCCCAAGGCTGGACAGAAGAGCATCAACTGGCCTCACTGGGAGCTCACTGGAAGGCAGGAAGAGGCACAGTGGCTCTATAGCAGTGCCCAGGGTAAGGGGGTGAAATGACTTATTCAAAATGGTTATGAATTGCCGAGAGTTAAATAAGGTAGCACACTCATCTACACCATGGTATCCATTTCTCTTTGACACAGCAATTGGATCTTTTCATGCTGTACCAGACGTTGCTCATTTTTTTGTTTTGTTTTTATTTAGTATCCACTTAACAGCAAGAATCCAAAACCAGCTGGCACTTGCTTGGAAGAGACAACAGTAAGCCAGAGATCTGCCTACCCTCTGAAAAGGCTGTCATTACCGGAATGACATGATGGTAACACTGAGTGTCTTACAGAGCCAAGTGGATGGAGTCTGAGTGAGTGTGTAGTGATCACACAAGCATGGCCATGTCAAGGATCTCAGTGCACCAGGCCCACAGACATGGCAGCGCCTTCCCCAGGGCCTTGTGGATGCTGACAGTATGTGCAGAAACTGACCCCCTCCCCAACTTACTCCTCCTGGGCGTTTACAGCCTGAGCTGGTCCCCTGCAGAGACTCCTACTCAGGAGCCCTGCCCCCTCTTCAGCTGTATCTAATAACCTGCCTCTTCAATCCAGGTGCATAAGATGAACATGCTAAGTTGCCCAACTGCTGCTGGTGTATCTCGTCAGGGCACGCTGCGCACCTAATCCCGGCCTTTCTGTTTGTGTGACTGTTGCTTCTTTATTCGCCATCGCCCCAAGTTAGGTCAATCCCTAAAGCTGTTGGGAAAAGGCATCCTTTACGGGTGGAAAAAGACAAGCCATGGGTGGATTACCTCTCTACAAATTATTAGCCAAAGAAATCCTTGAGAGCCCACAAGCCACAAAGGCCAATGCTTGTGATGGCACACTAGACGGAAGCTGGAGACACTGCATGCTCTGTGAACAAACTCTAGACAGCAGGAGCAAGGGAAATGTGACTCTGGCAGGCCTTGTCCTTCTCTCTAGTTCCCTCTGCCTTGCTAAATTGTTAGATGACATTCCCAAAGCTAGCCACCAAGATCTGTTCCCTTCATTTGGCCACTTCCTCCTCCTGAGTGAGGCTGACTACCAAGGTCCAAGCTATCAAAGTACTGAAGTCCAGCAATCAAAAGCCCCCTTTGGCTCACCTAATTAACATGCCCAATTAAAATTAGACACCTCATTCTAATGTGGGGTTTCCACTTTTACCTTTATAAATGGCCACTTGCTTATGGGCCACATCTGTCTTCTATCCAGAGGCAGTCCTTCGTCCCCCTCCGGGACAAGTACCCCTTCCTCCTCTCCCTTTTTCCTTTTCCCTTCTCCCTCATCTTATATCTCCTGTCTTTGTCTCTTATTCCCAGTTCTTTGTTCTCTTTGGCAAAATAAATCTCTTCTGTGCTGAGAACTTGGTCTTGGGGTTGTCCTGAGCTGATACCAGTCCCTACACTCTGGTTTTAGTACATAAAGATTATGTACTAAATCAAGCAGGGCCCGTACTGGGGGCTCTTCTTTGCTGTCCAGCTTTTGTTGTACCAGAGGGTGCTATCCAGGCTACTGAGAAATAGTTGTCACTAACAGTCCTGCTAGCTAGATAACAGTCCTGCTAGCTAGAAACCCTGTGGGCTGCACTATCAACAGTATTTGAAAAATGTGCCCACTGGTACATTAGTGGTACAGCTGCTACAGATACAACAAAGTGCTTTGTGAATGACTTTAAAGGCCATTCCACAGAATTGTGTTTTGTACCGTAAGCCAAGGGGGGTTGAAGGGGTGGACCCTGTCTCTGAGAAAATCACAAAGGCCAGGGCAGGCTACTGCAGTTCCTTTGTGAGACAGGTAAGACATGCTAGTCAACTGCATTCTAAACATGTTTCTAACTTCTGTTGCTTGAAGCCTTGGAAGGCTTGTTTGCAATGGGATGTGGTTACTCACAGAGACTCAATAATCAAACTGCTGAAATTAAGTGACTGTTGTTGTGGTGTGCTGGCCCAACTCAGTATGTAGTCATATACATATCACCCTTTCCAGAGCTCAGGTAATACAGTGGGGGAGAGGGAAGAAAGCATGGAAGGATCACAGGATAGGAGTGAAGTGCTGTAGCAAGGCTTTCACTTCAGGCGACAGCATGACCATGCCGTTGCCATCACAAGCAGAGATAACCCTGGCTCTGAGGTAACAGAGCAAGCCTTGAGAGAGGGTCACCAGATCCTCACCCGGTATCTTAGTTACTTTTCTATTGCGATATGACACTGTGATCAAGGCAATTTATAGAAGTTTATGGGGGGAGGGTGCTTACATTTTCAGAGGGTTGGAGTCCATCATCTTAATGGTGGAAAGCTCAAAGTTCACCCCCAGTGACACAACACACCTATTCTAACAAGGCCACACCTCCTAATCCTTCCCAAACAGTTCCTCCAACTGAGGACCAAGCATTCAAATATAGGTGCTCATGGAGGTTATTCTCATTCACACGACCACACCTGTGAGCCCACCTACACTGCCCTCCTGCCTCACAGCTGCATGTAGTTTGGAAAGGTCCAACAGTAGAGAGGAGGTAGAAAGCCAAGGGTGATGGTTTTTTCACTGTCAACCTTACTACATCTGAAATTAACTAAAACCCAAGCACTGGGTATACCTGTGAGGGATTTTTTTTTTCTTAATTAAATCATCTGCATCGAGAAGACCCATTTTTAATCCAGATCTTTTGAGGAGGGAGTCTGCCCATAGTCCACCAGTCTGCTTCTGGTGGCAGCCTATATAAGGGACATGGAAGAAGGAAGCTGGCTTTCTGCCTGCTTGCTCTCACTCTCACTGGCAAGTCCACTCCTTCACTGAGTAACAGAGCCTCCTTCTTCAGGATTCTGTCATATACTGAAGAAGCGCTGAGACATCCAGCCTTGTGAACCAACCACCTACTGGATTCTTAAACCTTCAGTTGGTAGTCAGCCACTGCTGGCTGGACACAGCCATTCTAATAAATATAAAACACACACACTTCATTATATAAGTTCTGTTTCTCTAGGGAACCCTGACTAATAGACCAACTAAAGGCAGGATCCCTGTAATATAGCCTTCACAAGGGATGCTGGGATGGGAATTTTTGGTGACGTAACTGCATTTGAGTCATGTGTTCTCCTAAAACATAGCCAAATAAACTCACTGGCTCATCAAGATGGACTTCTGTGGAATCTTTTCTTGGTCCTGCACTGGGGCCTGATCTCACATTTGTTCATGGACCCCCAGAAAGGTAACAGAACAGCTGGGCACAAAGGCAAAAGATGAACAAGATGTAGCTTCCACCCTTGAGAAGATCAAACTCTACACTAGTACTGACCAACAGTTTCTGCCCTGATGAAAATATGTGTCTATGCTGACCACTATAGAAGCCGCTAGCCCCACATGGCTACTGAGCTCCTGAAATGGGCCTTGTTCAAATGAGACACTGAAGTATCAGTTAACTGTAATTAACATAAATTTTATGTTGACATATGTACTAGTGGCTACCATACTGGACAATACACTGTTGTCCAATCCAAATACATACACTGTTAACTAACCCAAAATATATGAAAAAAAAAATCAATGTCACAAAATCAGTGCTGCAAACTGTTTTTTGCTACTTTGTGGGTTCTTTTTCCCACCCTTTATCCCCTAGGTTTTACCCTTATCACTAGATAGAAGAGAGAGAAAGATGGGGGGGGGGATTCTTCTTTGAGCATGACTACTAACAGATGCAACCAACCCCCTGAACAACCAACAACCACTGTCAACCCACCTATAGGGGCCCTAGCATTTATATTCCCTCCGAAAAGCTCCCAGAATTCCAAATGTCACACAATGGCAGAAAATATCTGCTGTTGGAAAAACCATGCTTCTGATAAAGTTCATGGTCGGCTGCTGCTGACAGTCGGAAGCAGCCCCACATCCCTACACCTAGGATTAAAACAAAAGCACATTTTTATAATATTTCTGTATTGTTAAAGAAACCAAAATTCCAAAGTCAACACTACAGACAGTGATGAGCAACATTTACTTACCTCATTGAGTATGCTCTCCAGAGTTGGAGGGGTATCCACTTGAGGAATATCAAACTCTTTATCATCAATCTGAATAAAGACATTAAAGTTGACGTGAGGCTTTTCCTCTTGTAACTGTGAGATGTTTGAAATAACTAGAACCACTGTCAATGCAACCCACTAACTGGATCATATATTCAACTTGGCAATTCCTATCCAACACATTTTTATCCACACATCCAGTGACTCTCAAGGCCAGGAAAACCTCGACTGTGCCTCTCTGACAGCCCTAATCCTTTCTAGAAAGCTGAAGGACTGTTTTACCTCCTTTCTTAGGATGACAAAATACCACATGCCATGGCAGACCACCCTTTCCTAAGCTTAGACTTGAGGCCTAAATGACATGCCAAAGCATGACACAGAATTTCTTGGTTCTTTCATGGTGAAGAAAGAGTAAGTTAAAAAGCTGTCACTAAATAACTCTCACCGTCACAGAAACCACTGATATTCAATCAAGAAAGCAGCAAGTAAGATGGGAGGATAAGAACTCTAATACTCCCATCAGCCCCAGGGCCTTGAGACCGGCATTTAGCACGGCTGCTCACCAGTGTCACCTATAAACTGGATGACCAGCATGAGGCTAAAGGACACCAGAGTGCTCTGTAAGTGGCAACACACTGCACAATTAAGACTGACACCTTGTAAAACCCAACAGACTCCTGCTAACTAGGTATGCAGAGACCACAGATTCAGAGTATTTGGGTCATAAAACACACTAACCCAAGCTTTGTTAATCACTTGACAAAAGGTAAACTTTTACCAGATCATTTTTGAACTCCAGCTCCTTATCCAGATCTATGCAAGAGAACTTTGAAAGAGAAGCTTCTAAATTGAAAGACTTGTTCAATTCTTCCTCTGCAGTGCTGCCGCATGGGTTCTGTTCTGAATTCTCCTGGCCTGGTTCATTTTCCATATTTGATTTCAAGAACTGTACTCAAACAATCCGAGCAATTATGTTTCTTGCTTTTGGCCTTGGACTGCAGAGATCCGAATGATGCTCTCTTTGGTAGGGAGGCAGGTGTTACTTAGACATCCTCTTCTCAGAAGGACATTTCAGAGAAATCCTTGATGAGAGTCCACTTGGTCATCTGTCTGCAGGCAAAAAAAAAAAAAAAAAAAGGACGGAGGGTAGGATGTGGGTGGAGGGTTCCTACAAGAAGAGAAAGAGAAAAACTTAGCTCAGCCTTGGAGAGGTATGAGACTGGAGCCTCCACCGAGGTCATGAGACAAGTAACAATGGCATGAAACTTGGTGGGTCCTGGACAGTATCAAAGCAGATTTATACACCTGCCCCCAGACAGCAAACTGGTGCCGTAGCTTCTCGTTAGCCCTGCCCCTCTCTTCTGGGACCTCCGGGCAGCAATCCAGGTCCCCAGGCGGGAAGCACACAGACTGGCTTGATTGGCATCAACTCTGGGCCAGCTGAGCATGAGCATCCAGGACAGACGCTGAGTTGTCTAATAACACACTAGCAAGCCCAACAGCTGATCTACAAGGTGGAAACAACAGTGACCCAAGGATAAAATAATTACACAAAGCCAGTCACAGACAAACACGGTTATCTTCAGGAACAGAAATCTAGAAATATGAACATTAGTCACAGCTCAAAACAACAAGACCTTGTATTATATATATAAAAAGATAAACTCACTGGATGTTGTGGTGCACACCTTTAATTCCAGCAGAGGCAGGTGGATCTCTAAAAGTTTGAGGCCACCCTGGTCTACACAGTGAGTTCCAGGACAGCCAAGGCTACACAGAGAAACTCTGCCTTAAAAAAAAAAAAAGATAAACTGGTAAACCTGGAAAATGTTCATTTCTGAAAACTAAAACTGTATTTTTAAAAGCATATAACATCAAACTTTAATGTTTAAAAGTTTAAATGTTTAAAAATAAAAACACTGTAAGTTTAAATGTTAGCTGGGCAGTGGTGGTGCATGCCTTTAATACACACTCAGGAGGCAGAAGCAGGTAGATCTCTTAGTTTAAGGCCAGCCTGGCCAGTTCAAGGACAGCCAGGGCTACATAGAGAAACCCTGTCTCAGGAAAAAAAAAAAAAAAAAAAAAAACCAACAACAACAAAAAAACAACAAAGTTTAATATTTAAATTTTATTTTAAATCTCTTAAGATTGTTTCAATTAGACTACAAGTGGTCAAATTTTTCAATCTGCTTACCTTTGTGCAGAATAAAAACATAAACAAAAAATCCATAGTAATAATAACAACAAAAAAAACAAACATAATTCTGTTCTCTAAACAAGGTGTTTGTCATAGTATGCTGACCTTCCTATATCCAGTAGGTAGATATACTGTTTCACTTTTGCTTTTTCAGTTTTTCAATCAATCATGAGCTACAAGTGTTAAATGGAAGATTCCCAAGATTGTAAGCGTTAAGTCCTGTGCTGCTTTGAGTGGGGTAGGGAAAAGTCCGCACCATCCTGCTCCATCCCGTTGCGGATGGCAGTTGCCCCTCTGTAGGGTCCATACCATCCTTCTGTTAGTCACTCAGTCCCTGCCTCGGTTTTCACATCATCTTTCACAATATGGAAGAGATTCTTTCAAACTAACTCTTACATTACTTAATAATGACCCCAAGGCACAAGAGTAGTAATGGTACCAATGCCAGAGAAGCCACCAACTACTTCCTTTAAAGGGAATGAAAAAAGTTCCAGACATACGGGTCTGCTGACATACCATAGCATCAGAGGAAGAGAAAGTCTAATACAGGAAGTGTTCATGCCTAATTTATAAACTAAACCTTCATAGCTTAGTTTAATCATGTACTTATAGGTAAAAATACTGTATACGTGGCTGGCTCTCCTTACCTTATTTTTATGGATAGTTTCCAAATTCATAAAAATCAACCATGAATCAAAACTACTTTTTAAAATTGTTTCTGAAGTTGAGCATGATGGCCCATGCTTTAATGCCGGCACTCAGGAGGCAGAGGTGGGCAGAATCTGTGTGAGTTCAAGAGCAGCCTGGTTTATATGGTAAATTCTCCGGTCTACCAAGGCTCCACAGTGAGACTTGGTCTTTAAAAAATAAAATCTTTGAATTTTAAAAATGTTCCTGCAATAAACACAGACACTTCGGTCGTCACTGTTCCCTCAACAGTGCACTACAGTAACTGTGCCTGCAGTGTGAGGCGCTGTAAGCAGCCCAGAGATGCTTTAAAATGCACAGAAGTGCTGCGCTGTTTATACAAGAAACTTAAACGTCCACAGTGTGTCAGAGGGTCCCTGAACCGTGGCAGCTAGTGGACTACAGTACGCCATCTGCAGATTCAGGACTGACTGGGCTATCTTTGAATGTATCCCCTAAGAATGAAAGGGGACTACTATAGCAAACAGCCAGCAAAACTCTCAGTGTCGAGCTTCCTCCAGCTACACAGTGCTCAGAGGGAACAAACCCCACTGCCACCAGCCCTTGACTCCACAGTAAACTGTTAGTACCTGCTAGTAAAACTGTTGGTAAAATAAAAGAATAAAGCTTGGCACCTGCAACGGCTTGAATTACAAATGCCCATCACAGTCTCGGGCATTTGAATGCTTGGTCCCCAGATGGTGGCACTATCTGGGGAGGCTTAGGGGGTATGGCCTTTCCAGAGGAAATGTCACTTGGGCATGGGCTTCGGGGTCTCCAAGCCTCCTGCCATTCCCAGTGTACTCTTTCCTTTTCCTGCTTGTCGTTCAACCCCGAGCTTACTACTTCAGCCACTTCCCCACCATGATGGACTCTTTTCCCTCTGAAGCAGTAAGCCCAAATAAACTCTTCTGTAATTGTTTTCATTGCTGCGTTTTATCACAATGACAGAAAAAGTAACTAATAGAGGAGCTGCTGAGCCATTGAGAAAACTTAATTTTTAAGAGGTTTTTGTTGTTGTTCTGTTTTCTTTTGGGAGGGAGGGGCTCGAGACAGGGTTTCTCTGTGTAGCCCTAGCTGTCCTGGACTTGCTCTGTAGACTAGGCCGGCCTCAAACTCACAGAAATGCACCTGCCTGTGGCTCCTGAGTGCTGGGATTGCAGGCGTGTGCAGCGCGCCCGGCTGAGAGCTGCTTGCTCAGTTTGTATGTGGGAACTGTGTAAGTGGATGTGGATGTGTAGAGGCACCATGCCTGTGTGCCTGGGCGGAGCAGAACAACACTTCAAGTGTCCCCCCTACCACTCTCCCTCTCTTCCTCTGAGGCAGGGTCTCTCCTTCACCCAAGGTTTGTGTTTCCCAGACAGGCTGAAAGCCAGCAAAGCCCTGTGATCCTCCTGTCTGCACTCCCCTCAAAGGAAGCATAACTGCTGTGTTACAGCCGTGTGCAATACGTCTGGCTCATTATGTGGGTGCTGAAATCTGAACTCCCATCTTCATGACTGCACAGGAAACATTCTTAACTACAGAGCCACCTCTCCAGCCCTAAGAAAACTTAACTTTTTAAAATTAACTTAGATTGGGGGTACCACTAGCCAATGCGGGGCGGGGGAAGATTATTTGTGTAGTATGCCCAAGATCTTCTCTTCCATTCCCAGCACTTTCATGTGAGCACACTCACATGCACACATACACAAACCACACATACACACACAAAAAAAAACAACAACAATAAAATGCATCACAGGTAAACTTAGTTATTTTAAAGCAATATGACCAACTCACTGACAATTTAATCATTTTTTGTGCCTATGAACTGAGCAGTTCTCAGCTCAGTTCCTAATGCTGTGGCCATTTAAGACAGTTCCTCATGTTGTAGTGACCTCCAACCATAAAATCATTTTTGTTGCGACTTCATACCTGTAATTTTGCTACTCTTATGAATCACAATGTAATTCTGTTTTCTGGTGGTCTTAGTTGACTCTGAAAGTGTTGTTCAGCCCCAAGAGGGGTCACAATGCACAGGCTGAGAACTACTGGATTAGGGTATTAAAAAATGAATCGCTAGTAAGTATAAGATGTGAACTTGTGAAAACTGACTTTTCACAAGCTGAAACTGACTGTTCTATCCATTCTGGACTATTTACAAACACAGAGTAATTTCTTTCAAACAAACCCTAATGTTCTATCTTCAAAACACATGCTATCAAAACATTGTTAGAAACGTAGCTGAGGGCATTTTCCCTGGCAACATGTGAAAGCATCTTATCAGGTACTCAACACACTGTTCCTTATCAATGAGACACACCAACAGCAACACCGATGGGCGTGCGTGCGTGTGTGTGTGTGTGTGTGTGTGTGTGTGTGTGCGCGCGCGCGCACATACTAAGTCATTCAGTGTGGCATATATGCACATGTGTTTAGGACTGACCATTTAGACAGCCTATCCAGGGCTCATGCCTGGAGAAAACTGACTACCTATAGTCCTTTATCTGGGGGTGAGTGGAGCTTTGCGGACTTCCCTAGCCCCGCTGGCATGTCCGCTGGTGTGGTCATTATTCGGGTCTGGTTAGACAACCATATTATTAATATATCGAGAGTAGCATCCCTACGTCTTATACGACACAATCTCGCATCAGGCATCCTGGGCATCTAGAACTTACAAACCTTTCTTTATTTTAACTATTTGTATTTTGTGAATATGTTTGCCTACATGTTTGTCTGTGCACCATGCAGTTCTCTCACAGGCCAGAGAGGGTGTTTAAACTCCTGGAACTGGAGTCACAGATATCTGTGAGCTGCCTTGTGGGTGCTGGGAACAGAACACAGGTTTTCTGCATGAGCAACAAATATGTCTCTCCAGGCCCTTGCTCTTACAATCTTTATGCCCTCTCTCCTGTGGTATCCCCTGAACCTTACATTTAGGAGCTGTGTTACAGATGTACCACAGCTGGGTACTTCTGTAGCTTTAAATAGTGGGAAAGACCACATAGAAGAGAGAGAGAAAGACTAACAAACAGACAGAGACCGAGAAACAGATGGGCAGCCTGTGGCTGAACCATCTCAACTGGGAGAAGCACTTCCACAACTCACCCTGACGACCTGAGTTCACTCCCACAACAATGGTGAAAGGAAAGAACAGACTTCCACAACTTCCTCTGATCCCCACATTTGCTGTAGCACATGCATGCCCCCTGACAATAAATGCATTTGTAATCAGAAAGCCAGATATGGTGAGACACATTCGTAATTTCTAAACTCATACAGTGAGATGAAAAGATACAGAA